TCGATTGCAGTCTGAGTCAGGTCAGAGTCAGTCCATGGGTATCAACTCTTCCGCTGTATTTGTATTAACTAATTTAACTCTGTATTATCTGGTCGGTTTTGTTTCACGAGTGCACAGTTTGGTATCGGAGCAGACCAGCATTGGATAACTCACCATTGATTGATTGATTGATTGATTGATTGATTATTCACACCCGTACTCTGTTATCATTAAATCGCAAGCTGCAAAAAAATTTTCTTCGTACTTACATAGTAATTAGGTCGTTTGAATTATAATTTTAGGTTTTGCGACTTTCTCCATGCTGCACAAAATTAGGGAATCGCTAATCACGATTACCCTAATTAGCGCTAATTAGGGTTAGTCCTAACCTAATCTAACGACCTATCAAGCCTATGGGAAGTAAGTGCCAGCCAGACACCGTGCCAATTAAGGCAGACCGGGCCTGAGCACGACCACATTCAAACTGCAACTTCACGGAACTTTCACTTTTTGCAAAACGCATCTTTTATTGCGATTAAAGGTTGAATTTTTCCAGCAAATTGTGTATCTTCCTACTACCATTGATCTTCTACTTACCTCATGACCTCGTAATGGTGCTAAATTCTCCCGATTAAATTTTGTGAAATTATTAAAATTATGTTTAAATGTTTAAACTTGGTTAAACTTTATTCATTTTTACTTGTGCAAATTTAACTATTCTTTAATTAAATATTTAACTTTTGCCAAATTAATTGTTGCAAATTTAAATTTTCTTTAATTAAATATTTTTTGCCAGAATTAAATTTTATTTAATTAACTCGTATTTTCTGATTAAATTTTATTTAATTAAATAATTAAATATTTAATCTCTCAAAATTCGAATTTTTGTGGGGGGTTGAAATTTTTTTTTTGATTACTGTCAAGCTTCAAGGTCAAGGAAGAAAGGGATTGTCTGTGCATTGCTTGCCTCTCTTCCCTTCTTCCACCCCTACCTTCTCTCTCTCCTCCTCCCGATACTGCGGACTTCAGTCACCCGCCACGTCAGCATTGTGCCACATCGACAGCGGGCCACGAACGCAGATTGCAACATCAGTCGCGTGCCACCTCAACATGCCACGACAGCCGAGTGCCAAACCAGCAGCGGCCACCTCAGCAGTGGCACATCAGCAAGTGTTACCTCAGCGGTGACACGTCAGCAGCAGACGAAGACCAGAGTACTTAATGCGCCGCAGTCAACGGCTTGCGGAGCGCGGATCCACAGGAACCAAGCCCCAACAGGGACCAAAGACCCCTCGGATCCCGCGCAGACGACGCACGACCATGGCCGCTACCGCTGACGCCAATGCACAAGCCAGCCCCAAGAGGCCGGTTACCCCTCCTATACCGGTTCAGCAGGCAGATGAAACGCAACTAGTGTTTCTCAAACGTCTCCAGCTCTACTCGGAGACTACTGCAGTCGAACTGAGCAAATGGGAAGAGGAGGAAGCCGCCCGCCAGCAGGCAATCCAACGCCAGCTGGCAGAGGCAGAGGCAGCACGTCAGCAGGCCGCAGCCAAAGCTCCAGCAGCCGCATGGTTGCAACAGAAGCAGGTCGAGGCCAGTCAGAATCAAGCTCGTTACCAGGCTACAATGGAGCTCGCCAATGAAGAAGCCACTTACCGGACGATACTTCGACAACTGCACTTTCAAGCAAACGACGTACAAGAGGAGCCAACCGAGGAAGAGAGAAGAAAGGAGGAAATAGCAGTATTAATGGAACACATGTTGTACACATGCAATTGGCAGCAACGCGAGCTGTTGGCCACGTGGTAGACCCTCATCCGCCATGAAACAACGTTTCGGACGCCGGAACAGAAGATCACCGCCTTGCAGAACGCGAACAGCCAGCTGCAGACCACAGTCAGCACAGGTTTGGCACGACTGTCTGCAGTTCAGTCGACCGGCAGTGCAGTGGCGGACTCTGTAGCGCTACCATGAGCAGCGAGGAGAGAAGGAGCTCAGCGGCAGAGAGGAATTAGCGCAGCATTGGGAGCAGCGCCAGCCACAGGCCCAGCCCGTGGCCCAGCGCCAGTCCCTGCGGCGCCATAGCTACCTTATCAGGTACCTGGGAGGAAGGCCTTGCCTTCTCTACCCCATCTTCCTCCACCTCTCTCTCTCTCTCTCTCTCTCTCTC